AGGTTCTGAAGGCTCTGTGCTCAACCTTTGAAAACAAGCTGCCGCACCAAAGAAAGAGGTAAGAACTATAAAGAACCTCAAGGAGACAGAAGCCAGGCAATAAGGGTTGAGAGGCTAAATTGTAGCCAGGGAAATGTGACCACTTCACTTCTTAATTTAGAAGTCTAAATCCTCTGTGGAACTTTGTCCAGCTAGATGGAAATAACCCTTACATGATGGGAAAAGTCCATGGTTTTCATCTACCTGTCCGGAGAAAATTCAACCTGACAATCTGAAATGGCACATATCCAGAAACAAAATAAATTAAAAGCTTTGGCTACTGACTTAGTGAAGTCCGTATAACATGACTCGGGCTGTGCTTAGGGCTGCTTCAGGTTCAGCCTGAAAGGAAGAACTGGAGTCAACGTTGTGTAATTACTTTTCTGCCCTCAATATAAATGCTATGCATATTAGCCCCCTGGGCCCTCCAAAGACTCAGTCATTTTTTTTTTCCCCCTCTCCATGCTTCTCAGGCTTACAATGACACAATTCCATGGGGTTTGTCACTATGTTCTATATAATTATGCAAAGCATATTCTAATCTTACTGAAGTGTAAAATGAAATCTTGGGACTATAACACATTTTTAAGTAAGTTCATTTCCATCTTTCACTCTGGTTCCCCTACACTGTGCCATAGCCCAGAAACCCATGTGACTAATTTCTTTCTTTCTTTTAATTTTTTGAAGTAGGCTCCACGCCCAAAGTGGGGCTTGAACTCATGACCCTGAGATGAAGAGTCGCATGCTCTACTGACAGGGCCAGCAAGGCACCCCCATATCTTCTTCATCATATCATACCTACAGCCTGAATACTGAGTCATATTATGGTGGCAACCAGGCACAAGAGCTCTATTAATTTTTCCTTCTGAGAAAAGTTCACGCTACACATCTTCAGTTGATGTACAAAATCATGAATAATTAAAATAGCCCATTTGATTTAAGTCTGATCTATTTACATATCCTCCATTCTCTGCACCTATAGAAGTAACTACCAATTTGAGGCTTAATTTTTCTTTGAAAAGGAAACGTTATTCTTTAATGTCAAATATTAAAAAAGATAACCATCAGCAATAAAAATCGACTAGTTTTTTATTAATGAACAAAATTATTGGTTGTGTCCAATATTCCTGTGTTTCCCTTGTTCAACTAAGAAAGCTGCCTGCTTTTCAGCAAAGGGTCTCTGTTCATATTTAGCTTTTTCTCAGCCAAACTGGACAACCTCCAGTAGAACTGCTGATATTGAGACTTGGTTGGGCAAAGGCTTCCAGCTCAGAGAAGTGGTACACTCTTAAGGGTGTGGAAGAACTTTTTCTGGAAATACCCTGGCTTCCAACCAATCAATCCTCTCTTCTTGCTGCAGATTTTCTTTAAACTATGCTTTAAACTTTTCTTCTCCATACCAGCTGGACACCTTTTTAAATAAACATCTCTGTGCAGTGCACTGCAGAGCTGAGCATTCTTCCAAAGGGAGGGGAAAAATCCTGCTGCCTCCCTTCACACAATCTGCTTGCACTCCAGGCATGGCATCTATGCAGAAGATGAAATGACTTTGCAGAAAACTAACATCACCGCTTGCAGCTTGGATAAGACCTCTTTTTCCGTGTCAATTGCTAGGAAAGCCAGCAGAGTACAGACTCACTGGAGAAGAGATAGGGGTATGGATACAGGATATGGTGGTGCAAACAAAGGGAGGAAGCCATTGATGAAGAAGTGTTCATGCACTCGTTTTGTTGGATAAGAGTTAAATTTCAAAATTCTCCAGTTTGAAAATTTTTCCCAAATAAGAAAAATATTCAAAATGGAAAGAACATGTCCATTCTCTAGAAAACAGAATTATATCTGAAGCTGAGTAGGATTTCCCTTTTTCAAAAATATATAGACACATATTAAAAAAGTAAAAAAGAGGGGTGCCTGGGTGGTTCAGTTGGTTAAGCGTCTGCCTTCGGCTCAGATCATGATCCCAGGGTCCTGGGATCGAGCCCCATGTCAGACTCCCTGCTCAGCGGGGAGTCTGCTTCTCCCTCTGACCCTTCCCCTCTCATGCTCTCTCTCTCAAATAAATTAAAAAAAAAAACCTTAAAAAAAAAAAAGATTTTATTTATTTATTTGACAGAGACACAGTGAGAGAGGGAACACAAGCAGGGGGAGTGGGAGAGGGAGAAGCAGGCTTCCTGCGGAGCAGGGAGTCCGATGCGGGACTCGATCCCAGGACCCTGGGATCATGACCTGAGCCGAAGGCAGACGCTTAACCACTGAGCCACCCAGGCAGGCGCCCCATAAATAAAATCTTAAAAAAAAAAAGTAAAAAAGACTGGAATATTATATAACTTAAGATATCAGTGCTTATCTCTTTTGTTGACGATTAAATGTTATTGTCTTTTGAAACTGTCTAAGCTTTCTACAATGAACATAAATTATTTTTGTAATAAATAAAAAACCCAAGACAGAAGAATATGTCAGTAATCGCGCTAAGTGAAATAAGTCAGAGAAAGAAAAATACCATATGATTTCACTTATACGTGAAATATAAAAAATCAACAAATGAAACTGGACTCTATATACAGAGAACACATTGGTGGCTGCCAGAGGAAAACCGGGGGGGGGGGGAATGGGTGGGTAAACAGATAAAGGGGATTAAGAGTTACCAACTTCCAGTCATAAAATTAATAAATTACAGAGATGGAAATGTACGGGATAGGGAATATAGTCAATAATATTGTAATAACGTTGCATGGTGACCGATGGTGACTACCCCTACTGTGGTGAGCACTGAGTAATGTATAAAATTGTTGGGTCGTTATGCTGCACACCTGAAACTAATATAACGTTGTATTTTTTTTTTTTTAAAGATTTTGTTTATTTATTTGACAGAGAAAGACACAGCGAGAGAGGGAACACAGGCAGGGGGAGTGGGAGAGGGAGAAGCAGACCCCCCGCCGAGCAGGGAGCCCGATGCGGGACTCGATCCCGGGACTCCAGGATCATGACCTGAGCCGAAGGCAGTCGCTTAACCAACTGAGCCACCCAGGTGCCCCTATAACGTTGTATGTTAATTATACTTCAATCAAAAAATAAATAGAAAGGAATGGACTTCGTGTATCTCACTAAAAAAATTGTCTAAGCTTTCTGTAATGAACGTGAATTATTTTTGTAGTAAGTAAAAAAGCAAGACAGAAGAATATGCCAATAATCATGAATTAATAGGATGAATATCCTGGTACAAGTACTCAAATGCATTTGTAGTTGATTAGAGACTCTAATCTGGGGAGAAGTGGATTGTTTTTTCTGCTAAGAATACCACTAAAATATATCATTTCAGGAGGAAGGAAAGAGAAGGTAGTTCTTGAGGGGGGTGGCACCAGAGGTGGGTGGAAGTATGCCCCAAATTAAACAGGTTGAACACTCAGATATTAACTGTATTTCATATTCATCATGTCTATATCCTTTTTGGTATTAAAATACAAGCTAATGCAAAAGTGACTTCCGAGTTTACAGCTCTGGTCATTTTCTAACATGAGCTATTTTTGGCTACAGGCACTTGCCCTTCACAAAAATTAGTCATGTTACACAGAAGCAGTTGGGGGCAGGGTCCATTTGAATGAGTGACTCATAAGTTTTCCATAGATTACACAAAAATTCTTTCCAACAATACACCAGCAGGGAATACCTGAACACTTCTGGAGGTATACACAAAAGACGACGAAGCCAAGTGCTTCACAAATGGAAAGGAAAGGTCAATGATAGTTTTGCAGTATGATCTACACCCAGAAATGGCAACACACATTGGTCAAGTTAAACTAATGGAAAAAAAAGTTCCCTTTCCAGCTCACAGCTTTTCACGAGTAATTTCATAGCTACACAGCACGATGAATCACTCCAAGCACACATACTCTGGACTGTCAAGAAGCTAATTCAGGGCACAGCCTTCAATGGTATAAAATCTGACTGCTTGGTGATATAAGCTCTTGAATATTCAGGGGTGAGATGATCCGATTTAGTCAGTTCCTGGGCATTTATTCCTCTTGTCTCCTGTTTCTCAGCTTCTAATCATTTCACAAATGTCCTCACCAGAGAAAGGAAGTGAAATTCAAACCAATCAATTTATTTCCTTGTTAGCATTTTTGGTCAAAGTGTGTGGGAAGTGGAAACAAAACGAAGCTTTGACATTTCCCACTGATTCTAATTATCCTTTTTAACCTTATTCCCATTGCCATGTACAGATGGAAACTAAAACTCTTTAATATTTGGAAGGAAAATGGTTCTTAGGATTTTAGAAGCTTTCTAAAGATTAGAAAGGTGTCCTTGGGCTAATTTCAGGTCACTGAATGTTCAAAAACCATGAAGAACAATTTTAAGTCACCGTAATTTTAGCAAACACAAAAATACTTGGGGGACTCAAAATGTAGCTATAAAATTCCAAATGTTTAAAAGTCCAATAGTCTCTCAGTCCTAAGTAGTCCCCACGTGCTCTGCTCAGATATATCTACCTTAGGCAAATTTGGCAAATCTGAAAGAGTGACCTCAAAGTATCATTCTATTTGTATACACTATAAAGCTATTGTGGACTGGTCTGTTTTTGACTTTTGACTGTCATAAAGAACAGCTGAGATATTTAACAATCTCTGGGGGGAAAAAGGGCCTGATTTGTAGCATTTGCCCACTTCCTTGGTGTAAATTTTTGCACCAGTCAATTTCAATCTACCAGCTGGATGTCACTGAATGAGGAATTGGGAAGAGATGAGCAGAAGCACACCATTATCTAACATTTCCACCAAAAATAGATGTAAATAACCTAAGAGCACAGATAACAGTAAAAAACTAGGAAGTGATGAGGTTTGAGTATTTACTACCTTTGTTTTTAAGTTACATTTTATTTAAATATACTAAAATTTAACAGTTTCTCCTCCAGAGCTGGTATGGACTAGATTCAGCACATCACTTAGAGTGGCTCTGAGACTTACCAAGAATACATGCTCAAATATCTGTGTAGGGCTATCCATTTGACCAAGGATCACTATCATTTCATTATCTATAAATTCCTTGAATTCTCGTAAGTTGCACACCATTTGCATTTCCAACTCAGTTCGTATCTGAAACAGAGAGGACATATTTTACTAGTCTCTCAAAAGTATCTCTGTGCTTTCAATCACTCACGATTTCTAACCTTATACCTACTGTTTATCCCACACTCCTAGCCTTGGAACAGGGAGAACTCAAGGTCTCTTACCTCTTTGGATGTGATATTCTCCAAATCCTTCTGCATCATTATCTCCCTTAATTTGGTTTTAATTAATCTTTCTGTTCGCTCACGTTCAGTTGGTCTGAGAAGAGAGAAATGGTGATTTTTCTTAGGCAGGAATTTGACTAGGTTAATGAATGTGCCATTTGTTTATGTTTTCAAATTGGCAGACCTTCCCTCTATTACCCTCGAACATTTATATTCTGGGGGCATGGCAAAAAAAATAAGTATTTAAAAAAGTTTCTTTTCACAATGCATAGAATGTAAACGTGTAGAAATTATTACTTGAAGAGGTTGTACATGTCTGAAAGTCCTTAAATATATCCACATACATCTATAGGAATAAAGACAATAAGCTATACTGTATACTACTTTAATGCAGAATCATAGCCATGTTTCATCAAGTACCCCTGACTACCATTTGCTGAGCTAGAATACCAAGCTGGGTAGAACAGTGGTGTGACCCACTACAGAACTAGGTCTTCTGTAGCTTAAAATGCTACCTAATGCTGACCATTCATTGCTATCATTCTAGAAAACAGGAAAGATGAAAGAATGATTTCTGCCTTCTTCGTTGAGGCAAATTCACTCCAAAGAGGGTTTTCAAGGATTAACTACCAAGAGTACTTTCATCCAAAATGTGTTTCTTTTCATAAAAGCTCTCACAACATCTCTGTGAAATTGTTATCCCCATTTTACAGATAAAGGAAATAAACAGCTGAAAGGTTAAATGACATGCCAAAGATCACATACACTGGCAGGAGAACCAGCACTCTCAGCCCAGCCTAACACTCTACCTGAAGAATTATGTTGCTTCCTTAATCTTCTGACTCTTAAAATAAAATTACTCTTGGAACTTTAATAGGAAATTAAACTAGGAAGCTGACTCTCCAATTACTAGAAAGGTATTGGTTCAATGTTAACTGGATGCTTCTCTCTAAAAGCATTATTTCATATTATGCAGAATTTGAATGAGGCTGACAAAGGGCACTTTGTCTCATCTTTCCCTCTTACCTACTCAAAAAAGGTATCTGCTCTGTACCTCCTTATTTGGAGATGGAACTGGACTAAGCCATCAGGCATCCTGCCTGCCCTTGCTGCCTACGGCCTTATCACTGGCTGCAAAAATAGCTTCAGTAATCTCCAAAAATGGCTGCTCTGACCTCACAACCTTGGGGCTCCCCACCACTTGGGCTCGTAGTTTCTCATGAACCCTGCAGAATACAGATAATGCCTGTGCCTTTTCCCTATCCGCCAAGGCATCCCTGTCTTGACCAGGATTAAAATTCTTAATCATGCTCCTCACCATTTTTCCTAGACTAGCTAATGGTAGAAAGTTATACATTTCAGTCTTTTTTTTTTTTTTTAAAGATTTTATTTATTTGACAGAGAGAGACACACAGCGAGAGAGTGAACACAAGCAGAGGGAGCGGGAGAGGGAGAAGCAGGCTTCCCGCCGAGCAGAGAGCCCGATGCGGGGCTCGATCCCAGGACCCTGGGATCATGACCTGAGCCGAAGGCAGACGCTTAACGACTGAGCCACCCAGGCGCCCCTACATTTCAGTCTTCCATTAAAATTATTGATAAAAACGAATTTTACCATCTATGTGCATGAGTTAGATTCCCTAGTTAGCAATCTTTCTCCTAATCCTTTATAATACTTCTTTGAGGCAGAGTGGTTTGGGAGCAGACGCACCTGGGTTTTAATCCCAGCCCTGCTACTTCCCAGTGGTACAACCTTGAACAAATTCCTTCCCTTCTCTGAGCGGGTTTCCTTTTCTATAAAATGAGGATAATAATCATACTGCCTCATGAGGGTCTTATGAGGATTAAACGAGGTACCATGTATGAAGTGCTTGGCATAATACTTGACGTACACTGGAGGCACTATGCACATATACCCGTTCCTCCCCTTCCCTGTATTTCAAAATATAAACTTCATTTGCAGTAGAGCACCCAAATCCATTTTGGCACACATTTTCCCTGTAGGCTCAGCGTTCTTTTTTAGGCTTTTCTAGTCAGTTTAGGGAGGAGGAGGGAATGGAAAAAAATTACAACACAAATACACTTTCTTGCTTGATTTCACTAGAGAAAAATTCAGAAAATACATAAAAACACGAAGAAAAATAAAATCACTGAAAATCCCTGCATCAGAGATAATCATTATCAATATTATGACCTACAGCTTTTCAGTCTCTCTTTCTGTGACAGTAAATATAGTAAATATATCTTAAAATTGGGGTCATATGGTACATACTAAGAGCTAACATTTAATGAGCTTCTACCATGTGCTTGGGGCTACACTTTACATTATTCTTTTTGCTTGGGGATAGAGACAGATTACGGCCAATTTCCTTTCCTTTTCTTTCTTTCTGATGTAATATCCAAATTTTCTCTAATAAAATCATAAGAAATGAAAAGAAGGGTTTTCTCTCTCTCATGTAAGTCTGGTTTAGAATGTCCATTTTTGAGCCAGATGAGACATCCATTCCCTTGATACCCACCAGCCAGCTATAAGGCATGAAATCAGTAACATTTTCCAAGATTCTGAAAGCCAGACTAATCCTTATCTTTTCAGTTACTGTGGGATCTTCAAAGGACTAGGGCTAATAAAAAGGAGGTCCTAGTATCAGTAACACCCTATGCAAAAAGCTTCCACTGCTTTTTTTGCCTGCTCTGTTCACACAATTCTTGGAAATTTCACCTTTTCTAGTAAAAATAAGTTTACACTACTATCTAAACTAAGTATTTTTTTTTTTTTTAAAGATTTTATTTATTTGAGAGAGAGACTGAGAGAGAGAGAGCATGAGAGGGGGGAGGGTCGGGAGGGTCAGAAGGAGAAGCAGACTCCCTGTCGAGCAGGGAGCCCAATGCGGGACTCGATCCAGGGACTCCAGGATCATGACCTGAGCCGAAGGCAGTCGCTTAACCAACTGAGCCACCCAGGCGCCCTAAACTAAGTATTTTCTTAAAACAAAACAAAAAACCATGAACTGTTTTGGTATCAATTTAGGAATCTGAAGGTGAAGGTTTGTATGGTCAGATAGTAAGTAGCTACTCTTCTTTTCCAGCTGTAGAATACCTTGGAACTGCAGAAAGATCAATTCAGAGCAAAATAAACATCCTGATTAATTTCCAAAATAGTCACATAAGTTTCAACACATAGACCTAAAAAGGAAATAAACATCAACTCCACCTCAGGCCCTTATCAACTCACAGTACACCAGGGAGATTTAATAAAATCTCAATGACAAAGACCCAACAGGGCAATGGTGGGGCTGAGTCAAACACTTGAATTATAAGTTATTTTTTAAAATATGTGGACAGAAATCAGTTTAAAATTAGCACAGCAACCTAGGCAGTCTTTTAAATTGACTGGAAGCATCTTGTTTTCTTAAGTATTGGAAACATCCCTTTAAAAGCTTCTCTATATGTCGGGGCGCTTGGCTGGCTCACTCAGTACAGCATGTGACCCTTGATCTAGGGGTTGTAAGTTCGAGCTCCACACTGGGTGTAGAGATTACTTGAAAATAGAATCTTAAAACAAAACAACAAAAAGCTTCTCTGTGTCATTAATTTGCTTACCAAATGCTTCTTTCACAGATAATGCAAAGGCAGACTTCAGCCAACTCCTTTTAAACTCAAATGTCAAATTAGTGGAATCTGAATGGGATTTTATGGTATTGCAGTTCTTTACTATGGAGATTCCATTGTGCCCAGGAGTGAAACTCCTTAGGCCTTTGCAGACAACAGAAAGAATAGGGTTCTTTGTGTGGCAGTTGTGCAGTGTAGACATTGACTAATATCACTGGATGAGATTAATTCTCCAAGAGGAGAGATTAGGGAGGAACATGTTGCTTACACCTCCTAGGATACTCCCGTGATCCTGAGTAAGCTGACTTACATGTCTGTGAAGAGAGCTGGAGAGTCAGGCCGGTGGGACTGCACATCCTGCATAGCATTCCATTCATTGACTGACGACTGATCTGAGTTGATGTGGCTCTCGTAATAACTCACCCAGGTGAGAAACAGGCTGCCTGGGTAGTAGTTATGCATTCTGGCCACTTCACAAGCCTTGTGTAAACTCTGTAGTGCAGACCTGAAAGATACGCTGGGAAATGAGCACTGTAGAACTGTGGGGACACCAAAAAGCCAATAATCCACGTGCATCCAAAACTCTTTCAGTTTTTAAATCCTATAGAATTTGGCCTCTGGAGAATCTATCTATTCCCTGGAATTTAAGATTCTCTGATTCCAATTATACTATATTATCTATTCATAGCAATCAGCTAGACACTTCTTGCCGATGCATTATTAAGGTTGGGGGTAGAGAGGGGCAGGAGAATTGACAACCCACCAGTGAAAAATAGGTCTGGGTACCTATGGAGCTCATGATCCTGTATGCTGTATCACTACAGAACTAAAGATCTCAACTATTTACTATATAAATATTTGTTTCCCTTGGCACAGAATCATCTTACTGCATACATTTCCTATGATTCTTAGAGGGTCCACAAAGATCACATAGATAGATAGATGCCCCTAAGCCTTGAGGACATGTCCTTTCGTGCCCAGGAAGTACTAATCTAATGACATTTATCATTCTTACTGCTTTAGTCTCCCAGTCTCTTTAAACCATTTATTCATACACTTGAGCCACTTTCTAAGAATAGCTCTGGTTATACTAATTAAATCTCTGACCATGAACTCAGGAACCCAAGAAGGGTAAACAAAACTGAAAGTACTTTTTTTTTTTTTTACTTTTATTTTATTTGAGAAGAACCTTTTTAGTTCTATATTTGGGAAAAGCTAAAACCAGAAATGCTAGGAAATTAGTTACGTAAGAGCAAGGATCTTTCTACACTTTGTTTACTGATACATCTCAAGTGCCTGTAAGAATGCCCAGAGTTCATTACTGTTCATAGTTAGAGCACAGTTAGTATTTGTTAAATGAAATGTCTTATTAGCTAAAAGCTAACGTCTCCTACGGGAAGGGGGCATTATGAGAGAATTCTACAGGCAATCCATTTACATCTTTCTTTTAAGAATACTGTTTAATTTTTTCCCCCCATAACAAAAGTGACCCATGCTAACTTTAGAAAATTTAGGGACCTTAAGTAAAAGGCAGAAATATCCTGTAGTCTGACCACTGGGAAATAACCACTGTTATTAAAGTTTTAGTAGAGATCTTTCCAGTCCTTTTGTCTATGCATAGATCTATAATAACAATATGACCACATTCTACACACATTTTATTTTTATTTATTTTTTAAAAAGATTTATTTATGGGGCGCCTGAGTGGCTCAGCCGTTAAGCGTCTGCCTTCAGCTCAAGTCATGATCTCGGGGTCCTGGGATTGAGCCCTGCATCGGGGGTGGGGGGGAGGTCCCTGCTCAGCAGGGAGCCTGCTTCTCCCTCTCCCACTCCCCCTGCTTGTGTTCCCTCTCTCGCATTGTCTCTCTCTGTCAAATAAATTAAAAAAAAAAAAAGATTTATTTATTTATTTTAGAGAGAGAGAGAGAGCAGGGGGAGTGGCAGAGGGAGAAAGAGAATCTCAAGCAGACTCCCCACTGAGTGCAGAGCCCGACTCAGGACTTGATCTCACGACCCTGAGGATCATGACCTGAGCCGAAATCAAGAGTCCGACACCCAAACGACTAAGCTACCCAGGTGCCCCTCTACATACAATTTAAACTTGATTTTAGTTTACACTTTCTTGTCAGCATCTACATCAATATTCTTCAACTAGATTATTTTAATGGTTGTATCATGTTTAATAACATGGATGCACCATAATTTAACTAATTCCTATTTTTCAGACATTTAAATTGTTTTCCAGTTTTTGCTATTATTACAACACTGACAAACATTCTTATGGTTAAAATTTTTGCACACACCCACAATTATTACCTTAGGATAAATTCTTAGAAGTGGAATTACTGGGTCAAAAGGGCATTCAGAATGGTAAAGCATACTGGCAAATCATTCTCAAGAAAGGTTGTTCCAGTTTATTTTCCTACCAATAGTAAATGACAATGTCTGTTCCTTTAATCCTTGTCAACCCCGTATAATGTAAATTAAAAAATAAGATAATTACCAATTTGATAAGGGAAAAACATTTCAGTCCATTTTTATCAGGGAAACATTTTTCCTTAAAAAACAAAATTGCAGAATCTTTTAAAATGCTTTCTATTACTCAAAGTAAGCCAAATTCTCAGAGAAGTTTATCAAATTCTCAGAGAATTCTCTGAATTTCAGTTTCACTACATAGATTTAAAGGTAAGGGCCAGCTAAGTGCAACATACAGGATATTCAATGCATGTTGTCTTCATCCAGGAAACTCGTGCTTCAAAAGCATATGCCACATGTGTCTGGGGCAAGTACCCTAAAATACACTCAAGGCTTAGCCACCTCAGATACTTCAGCTGCATATAGGAGCGGGAGGCTACAGTAACTACCTTCCTGTGAAGGAAACACCTGGTTTAAATGCCGTTTTGATCCATAGATCATTCTTCTTTTTTCCTGTGACTTTCAGTTCACTACTCCCCAGATGGTACACCAAAAAGTTTATTCTGCAATAAGCTAACAGAAGTAAGACTAGTCAGTTTGCTTAGAACATCAAAGACCGAACTAGGTTATTACTTGAATCTTCCTTCATTGTCTTAAGAATTAAGACTGCTTTGTACTCCTTCTTAAAACACTGTCATTTATGGGACTTATGCTGTTTGGTTTTACTTGGTACCTAGGAATAGATAGGTCAGTTGCCTTTAAAGGAGCCTTAGTCAAAGAAGGTAAAAGTTTTCCATGAGAAATTTATCTGTGAAATGTGCCCTAAATCTAAAAATCTGGTTTAAACACATGACCTGTAACTCTGTCCCACCTCAATTACTGCATGAAACGGTAAGACTCTTAAGTTCAGTTGACGCTGTTTTACGACTGCACCCACTTCAAGCCTATCAATCCTGTTATTCAAGGGCAAATGAGCTCCCTGGAGTCTTTTTTCAGGCTCCTTTATTTCCTGCTTGGCTTTTGTTCTGTCCATTCTGCTCCTCATGAGGACTTCTACTACAGAACAGGCAACTGAATGAGAAACTGAAATTCAAATCCCTAGCTTAGGGATAGACTCTGACACAGTCACACCATTCCCTGGTTACATTAGATCATTTTTCTAGATAATCTAGAATAAGAGAGTAAGAGTCTATTCTGCCTAAATGGAAAAGATGCTCTCAGGCCAGGTATGCAACCTCTCCAAAACTTCAACTTTCTCATCAATAATAAGGAACTAATAATATTATTTTGGGGGAGTTGGTGGTGATGATTAGATATAATCCATGTAAAGCACAATGTCTGACATACAGTTAAGCAGCCCCAAAGTGTTAGTACACCAGCTGATGATTATTAACATCTATAATGTTTAGGCTTTACTTGCATTATGCAGTCTTGAGAACAGTCATTAGCAATTTTAATGGAAACTTATCTATCAATAATATCCCTGATTACCCTAAGAAACTGAACACCAATGCACTGTAGTAGTGTGATGTTCTAGATTTGGCTCTGGACTGCTGCTAACTTAGTCAATATATCCTTGTAAGACTGTTCCAACCGGCAATCTGATTCATTAAGTATCTTCCAGAGTCCAAGAACACCTCTGAATTTCACTTGTTCACCAATGCTTAAGGCTTTCCACTATGACAATATGAAAGCTGAACTCCTAGGTTATCTTTAACTATGAGGGCCACACAAACAGATCACAGAAAATCTTAAACACACAAACAGATCATAGAGCATCTTCATAGAGAACTATACTATTTCAAATACTACTGCTCACAAAATATTGCCCCAATAATATATTTAAAAACTTTCATAGAAAAAAAAAAACCTTTCATAGAGACATTAAAAGTCCTCTTACCACATTGCCTGTACAGATACAGGTTTGAATATGTGCACTCTGTTATCCGTTGATACACTGAACCCACTAAGAAAAAAAAAATGAGATAAAAATCCACAAATGAGAGTAGGTCATTTCAATTTTGAGTTTTCAAGGTTATTTCTCAGGCTAGCAACTGCTGGCTCATTTGGAAGAAATCATCAGGCATTTCATGTAGAAGTCAGAGTACAGGACTTGACTGAAAAGCATCAACAAATTGTCTGATTTTATCTACCAAGCAAAATGAATGGACTCCCAAACTGGAGTTAGGGAATTACATAGTTTCCCAGCTGTAGCTACAAACTGGTCTGCTATATATTTCTATTTGGAAGTCTTGTGGGTTCTTAGCAAACCTGACCCTGGTTTTACAAACTGGAGCAAACATCTTGGTCTCTTGGGGACACAGTCTAAAAACACCAGGAGGTGGGGGTGGAGGGTCACTGGAAGGAATTGGCACAGGAAAGGGGTTATACTGTAGGCTGACAGCTGGCAGAGGCAGCAAGAGGTTATTTGAAACAGAACATATCATCCTCTGGGAGAGCATTGCAACAGTCCCCACATGCTCAGATTAAAGAGTGAGCCAACAAACTAGTTTTTCTTTGTTTGGATTCTTACCATAGTCGGCCTAGAAGAACAGAAGTGAGAGGCCCTGGCAAGTTGTATTTTTACTCCACTTTACAAAACAGGAGTTTAAAAGGACTCACTGAGTTGCTGACATGACAGTTCACTTGGGCACACTGGGCCTCCCATTCAGCTTCATGAATGGGCACTAAGATGGAACCCCACCCCTTGGCTTTCTGTAGGAGAATAAAAAGGGAAAGCTCTTACCCATCACCATCCAAATGAATTAGGGTATCACTCCAGAGGGGCAGGACTAAGCCCATGGTACAAGTGCTACTGCAAGACAAGAAATAGTCCATAGGTTAATCCTGTTATTCTAGGAAGCAATTCTTTATTAACTCTTTCAACACAACAGATAAAGCCCCTAAACTCTAAATTCTGGAGTGTTAGAATGGAGGAATTTCTATCATATAACTATCAATGTAATGTATGTGCTCTGGAGCTGTATCAAACAGGTGGTTAGTCAGGTCCTTATGTATTTAATAAAGAAAACTTACTGACTGAGCTCCTTGTATTGCTACCTCAAAAATGGCCGCTGTCTAAAAAATCCAGGTGATTGCTGCTGACCTGTGATTGGCAGGTTTCACCCCAAGGTCACAGCATCCAACTCAACTCCAAAAATCATTTTTTTTTTTAAAGATTTTTTTTTTTTTAAATTTTATTTATTTGAGAGAATGAGAGAGAGAGAGAGCATGAGAGGGTGGAGGGTCAGAGGGAGAAGCAGACTCCCTGCCGAGCAGGGAGCCCGATGCGGGACTCGATCCCGGGACTCCAGGATCATGACCTGAGCCGAAGGCAGTCGCTTAACCAACTGAGCCACCCAGGCGCCTGCAAAAATCATTTCTAATGCCAAGAACTATTGCTGGTTGCTGAAGACCTCTGAATATATAATTTGCTCAAATTTAACTCTGAGTTTTATGTAGATTTATTGAACACCAATTGGGAAATTGTGTCTCTATCCCACCACCCCTCTGGATAACTGTAATCTATCCCAGACCTCTGCCACTTTCTCTCCTTAAGGCCGCTGTAAACCATTTTCCCCTTCCATCCAGTCTCCCAAAGGCTCTGACACCCTCTCCCTGCCAATGTATACAGAAAAGCAGCATTGTACAGAAGGAATCTCAGACATGTGAACATGCAAAGTATGCACAGCAAACAGCAGAACAGCAAAGTATGGTTGAGGCACAGGCTCTGGAACCTGGGCTCTGGCACTAACTATATAATTTTAGGCAAATCATTTAATTACTTTGTGTTCCAGTTTCCTTATTTATAAAACTGAATAAAAATACCTTCTTGATTGGGCTGTTTGTGAAGGTTAAATTAGATAACACACTAAGAAATGTATATAACATCACCAAACATAACGACCACTTACTGGGGAGTTATACTTTGTCAAAATATCTGGATTTGATCCTCTTCAGTATTTCAATTCCTTTTGACAAGTTATTTACCCTTTCTCAGCCTTAATTTTTTCACCTTAACATGCAATTAACAAAACCTACTTTCATAGGGTTATCATAAATATATATATATTTTTTATTCTTATGTTAATCCCCTACATTACATCATTAGTTTTAGATGAAGTGTTCCATGATTCATTGTTTGTGCATAACACCCAGTGCTCCATGCAGAATGTGCCCTCCTCAATACCCACCACCAGGCTAACCCATCCTCCCACCCCCCTCCCCTCTAGAACCCTGTTTATTTTTCAGAGTCCATCGTCTCTCATGGTTCGTCTACCCCTCCGATTTTATCATAAATATTTTAAAGTGAAACAATACATATGAATGTATTGTCACTTAAAACAAATGTTGAATATGAATTTTTAGTGAGTGCTCTAATACAACTGAAAGTGACTGGGGGTGTGAGGAGGGGGAGGGACATCATTAAAATGCACTGAAAGCAACATGAGGAATACCAAGCTTTTGCTATTGGAGGCACTGCAGGGCTAATGAAGACCGTTCCCCAGGTGGGCTGTGTCTAGTACTTTGCACTGTAGTTGCTGGCCTGTGTTACTCAACACCGAGCACTGTGTGCTCTACTAGTGATTCCAGAATTCACGAGAATCAAATCAAGATTGCAACAGCTTATCCACATTGGAAGGCTGGGCCTGAATTCCAGATGCAGAGCTATATGCAAGAATCCAAGAGGGAGGAAGAGAGCTCCACCACTATTTTTGTTGAGTAGATGAGGTGAGAACAAGGAAAACTTGTTTCCAAGATGGCTTCCCAAGATGGAGTGGGGTTATTTTCAGAGTAGTTCCTTTATTTCTTTTTTCTTTCTCTCTCACTCTCTCTCTTTCTTTCTTTTTAAAATGAATGCTTAGCCAGGTTCCTAGCAACAAGTCTAGTTTGGGTATAAATATGAAGGGTTTATAGCCTGGTGACAAATCTTGAAATTAAGTAACTACAGAAGATGATACGGAAGATCCAAAAGAGTGTGATCTGTGAGCTTGTGATGAGATACCAGTTAAACTTTGGACAAGTGACAGTGATATATAGGAACCAAATATCACATGTTCAGCTTATACTCAGGTCAGGCTGCTTCTTTACATTAAGTAGCTTTTTCACACAATAGGAAAGAGAGGCCTGAATTAGGCACACCTAGTATTTTTATCTAATTTACCTTGAGTTTCATGAGATTTTTCTCCTTTCAAGTATAGGCGCTTATTTTAGTAGACACTCATCCCATTCAACAAATATTTATTGAGTGCCTATATGTACTAGACATTTCCAGGTGTTGGGGGTACAAAGAAAAATTATAAAACAACACCATAAAACTTTATTATTTTATAATTTGAAATATATTCAATGCAATTTGGATACCAAGGTTACATTGTATATTTAAAAATTTATTACTTAAGATATAACACAATACTAAAAATTTTATTATTAAAATATAACACAATGCTTAAAAATACTATAAAAAGGTTAAATGAGATGGCGAATCATATCTTGAGAACTACTTGGGAAGATATGTCTCTCATAAACAATCTGGGTTCTACTTTGGCTTAGTATTGTTTTGAAACATTAACTTTTTATATTCTCAGATACAAAATGATACAAATTCCTTCAAAAGCAATTGAGGTAGAAATGATACTAGTTTACGTGAGTGCCAGTATTCTGAAGTGGGCAGCACTTTTCTTACTGTCCAAGGAGCTCATTCACAGAAGATGGATGGAATTCATAATACCAAGTTTACAAAAAAGAATGAAAACTAGTTTCTATAGCTTTTCACATCACTTTTTTGTCTTCCATTAAATAAAATTTTCATTTGTTAGATAAGATTCAGGCAGGACCATTACTGAAGATAGACACAGTTCACTGAGGATAAGATTACACATCTGATTTCTCACACACTGGGTCAGGAGAATCTGAAGTTGTTGCCTTGTATCTCTAGGGGAAGGCTCAAATGAAGTTTCCAAGCAGTCCCAGTTCCTGTTTTATGGGGTTTCCAAGGGAGGAGTCAGGAAGAACCAAAGGAAATAAGATACAAAGTAGCACTGCTGAACTTTCTGCAATGATGGAAATGTTCTATATATGTACTGTCCAATATGGTAGCCACAAGTCACATATAGCTAGAGTACTTGCAATGTGGCTAGCTGTGACTGAGGAACTGAAATTTAAATTTTGTTTAATTTTAACTTATTTAAATAGTCACCATGTGGTGGTAGTGCTACTGTATGGGACAGCACAGATCTAAAGAGATAAAAATCTAAATTGGAGGTCTTAAAATACTAACGAACGTAGGCAAGTAGGTGCTCTTAAAGGATAAATGCTTACTGAAAGGTCTGGTGCTTTGCTAACACCAGAGGTTAAATCCATGCAGGCGAAAACCTAAATGTGGTTTACAAGCCTGTGCAATTTCAGCGCACACAATTAAAGGCTGTAAAAATTATATAAGGTAACAACTCTGGCCTTGTGGATCCTTGGGAAACCACAAATAATTTTCAGGTTGACTGTACAAGCTTAGGTAAACACTTGTTTGGGAAACCTTCTAATGACAATGTGATTCTTTTCCTCCCAACATCAGGACAATTAGAATCACTCCTAGTCTCTTCTTCTGTGGCTAAATGTGTGGCCTGGGTCACACTGCTAGCTACTTCACAGTTCCATTCTAGTCTCAAACCAGGAAGTCAATGCTTTGAGACATCTGGCAGGATTTCCTGAGGCTTATTATCTAGAGTGCAAAGATCTGCTTAGCCACATTCCACAGTCTTCCAAAGGTTTCTCCAGAAGAAGTGGGAAAATAAAAAAGGAAAGCAATAAACTTTAGGGACACAAAAGAGCCAGGTTCTGAGTGCGGTATGATACCTTTAATTATAGGATGCAAAGTGCTGCTAAAGCCAAAGGTGTATGATTATAAAAGGTTCTGTTCTGAGTTAAAAAAAAATCAATTCCCTCCCACCCTGCCCTTTTAACTCAGAAGAAGGAAAAAGGAAGGAAAACATTTGGTAAAAGCAAGGTGTAAGGCCATGAATAAATATAAGAGATTAGAGTTAAAGTGGGCTCTCTCTGAACCCAAGATCTACTGGTGCACTATCACAAAGGATACTGTGCCCCTCGAATCAGCAAAGTGAATCATTACTGCTTAAAATAAAGTTAACTACAAAGATAACACAGCTTTTTATTCCTGGAGATATAAGTTTAAATCATTTGTATTTAAATCATTTATATTCATTACCATTTAAGGATGAGAGGAAGGTAAGGAACAGTGATAAATTAGGAACACAACCAAAGACATTCACTAATCATTTTCATCTCTCAAGACTGTATGGCTAAGATACTTTAAGAGTAGAACAGTGTAAGATGTTTTTGTAGTAACTCAAAAGGCAACTGGAATAGTTATTTAAAAATGAGTTTTCTCATCCTTCCTTTTCTGGTACCATACCTGTCATTAGAAGAGAAATCCATTCCTAGGACGATGCTTTCTTCAGTGTCTTGTCTACCATTAGTTGAAACCACTACCATATAGCGTGTTCTATTCTGGTAAGTACTTTCTAGTCTTACAGCCTGGAAGTTAACAGACAACAGATATATTAGGAAATTTAGAAGGTCAGTTTTAGATCATTCAACCTCTTTTTACATCAGCATCTTAAAGCATGCTCAGGAAGACTTAAATTCAAATTCCAGCTCATGTATTAACTATGAAACCGTCAGTAAGTTACTAAATTAATTGGAGGGAGATATAATAATACCTATCCCACTGGATTATAAGAATCATATGAAATAGTGCATGTTTATAAAGCACAGTGCTTGTCATATAGTACAAGCTCAACAAATACTGGCTCTTAGCATAATTTATAATAACAACAACAACCAGGGCATGTTCTAAAGATTGAAAGAGGGAAATGTGAGATATATGAATGTGAGCATTGGACTCACAGATGCAAGTCCCACAAATAATTATGATCCAAGTAAGCCATTAATATATGAGGAGTATACTCTGTTGAAATCTTACAGATTATACACTGCAAGATTTTCTTCTTCAGTTTCAGTGATAAAGAAATTGCTTTTTTCAGAGACTTACATTATTTTTTTGTCAAAAACTTTTTATTTATTGCTTGTTTGTAATATTTTAAAAGGGCCTTCCAAAAATTTGAATATGGGCAGGGTGTTAAATGATATTAAGGATTTACTGTTAGTGTTATAATGGCACTGTAGTTATGCCTTTTTCTTAAGTATCTGGAGTAAAATGACATGATATCCAAGTTTTACTTCAAAATATTCCAACAATGGGAAGCAACCAAGATGTCCTTCAGTAGGTGAATGGATAAACTAAATACATCCAGACAATGGAATATTATTCAACACTAAAAAGAAATGAGCTATAAAGCCATGAAAACAAATGAAGGAATATTAAATGCATATTACTTTGTGAGAGGAGCCAATCTAAAGAGGCTACATATTATATGATTCCAAATATATGACATTCTGGAAAAGGGAAAACTATGAAGTCAGTAAAAAGATCAGTAGTTGCCAGGGTGCAGGGAAGCACAGAAGTTTTTAGAGCAGTGAAACTACTCTGTATGATACCAAAGTGATAGGTACATGTTTGTCATTTTATGTTTGTCAAAACCCACAGAATGTACAATACCAAGACTGAACCCTAATGTAAACTATGGACTTTGAGTAATAATAATGTGTCAATGTAGGGCCATCAATTTTAACAAATGTACAACTGGTGGTCTCTCAGTCTCTCTCAAAAAAAATAAAATCTTTAAAAGAAAGGAAGGAAGGAGGAAGGAAGGAAGGAAGGAAGGAATAAAAAATTCTGCAATGCTGAGAATGGACCTGAGGTTTCAAATTTCCTTTTAGGCTTCAAGATTCAAGGTTAAGAAATTAAAATTTTAAGAGCCATAGCATAAAGAAAAACCTAATACCCACCTGGGTTAGAGGTATATCTCATAGTCCTCTGCTAGGAAGAAGATTGATAAAAATCTAATCATCTAATTTTTTTTAAAAGAGATTTTATTTATTTGACAGAGAGTTAGCGAGAGCAGGAACACAAGCAGGGGGAGTGGGAGAGGGAGAAGCAGGCTTCCCACTGAGCAGGGAGACCGATGCGGGGCTCAATCCCAGGACCCGGGGATCATGACCCGAGCCGAAGGCAGACGCTTAACGACTGAGCCACCCAGGCGCTCCTCTAATAATCTAATTCATGAAGTTAATCAGAGAAATGTAATTTAAAATGGCAGTTTGTACATAATACCCTAATATTAGAATTGGCAGCAATTTCAATGTTTCCTCAGTCTCCAAAATTTACATGGAATAGATGACTGAAATAAGGCAATAATTCAGGTGCATTTGATTAACTCCAGTTCTCACTGAAAAGGATACCACTGAAGTTTATTCTAATTATCCAGCCAAAACAATATTTTGAATTTTAAAACTTTGCAACAATAGCAACTGAGAAAATTATTCCAAGAAAGTCCATTTATTGCCTAAATTTGGATCCTATTATAAGTGTCAGGTGAACTCGACTCAGCAACCTGAGGACTTAGATAGGTCTGAGAAGTCATCTGCCTCTGCTTTATTTCTGATAAGAACCCAACCTGTTTGCAAAGCTCATCTACCAAAGAGTGATGTTAAAACTTCTCTCAGTAACTAATTTAAATGTTTATAATCTAATTACAAGCAGTTCACAAACACCACCTGATAAAATAACTTCTGTCCTTAGCATCATCCAACCTCAAGAAATACTATTCCTTAAGCTTACACTGCACCTTTGCCTTTAATTTCTTTTCACCAAGAGTCTTACATCATGCCACTGCATGCAGTGTTTATCCTCAAGGAAGCCACATTACAACGTCCCAATGTCTAGACAGGCAGCTCACCCAATCCATCAGAGAGAAAGGTTTCAAAGTATGTAAATATTAAATTCTAGCCAAAAGAACAAAGCAAAGTCATTATCTAAAATTAAAACAGACTTCAGATGTGACACTAATAAACTAAAGAACACTGTTTTCAAAAGAAATAGAGCTTGAGGGAGTCTCAGGATTTTATTTTTTTTAGTTTATCTCTATAAAATTCTTAAGTTAAAAAAAATCTATGTATTATATTCTGTGTAGCCATTAAAAACAGATTTATTTGTTGACATGGAAAGATATCCAAAATAAAGTGTGAAGAAAGCAGGTTGTAAGTCAGCATTTATGCTTTTATCTCATTTTTGTAAAAAAAAAAAAAAAAAAAAAAAAAAGTGCTGACGTATGCTCTTCCCCATTCAATTCTGAGCTCAAATCAACTGTAGAAACCTTCATAGTTATAAAGATCGGTAGTAAAACCTTTTCATCATTGCTCAAACAGATTAGCCTTTCGTATATACACATTTCCGCCAATTTCATTCGTCCATGAGCAAGTCCTCAGTTATCCACTTTTTAAACACACACAAACACCCCTCCTCACCCCCAGACATGTCTTGTTGTTTTAACGATTTTATTTATTTATTTATTTGAGAGAAAAAGAGAATACAGGTGGGGGGAGAAGCAGAGGGAGAAGGACAAGCAGACTCCACGCTGAGTGTGGAGCCTGATGTGGGGCTTGATCCCATAACCTGGAGATCATGACCTGAGCTGCTTAACACTGAGCCACCCAGGCTCTCCAAGTCTTATTGTTTTAAATTACTTCATACTTTTACTTCTCAGAACTACAGAGATCAATCAGGGAGACTAGTAGGTCTTCTGATACTCAGATTTGGCTATTTTTATTATTGATCCACTTCAGTAAGAGCAGAGGTCAGAGAATCTGACATACTCTTACACACACGCACACACACACACACACGAAAGACTGGACGGATGCTTATCCAAACTGCTAAGAATGGTTTTCTCAGAATATAGGATACAAAGTGATTTTTACTTTCTTCCTTACACCTTCCTGTATTCTATGACTTTTAAAAATTTTATATTTAGAAAAAAATAAACCCATTTTCATTTTGGGAAACTATCAATGTACTATAAAAAACAAAGCCTAAAAAGTCCTTATTTTCTTAAACTCTCCTGCAAAGTACTCAAAAACATCTTGTGCCTTATCAGTACCATAACTCTAGTTAAGAATATTAAAGTTACTTCAAATGTTAGGAAAGTTTTTCATTTTCTAGTCTATTTTTTTTTTATTGAATGGGTATTGGGTAATGTGCAAGAGTATTAAAAAAACACGGTCTTCATTCTACCAGCTACAGTTTTCATAAATACTGAAGTTAATGCTTGGGACTGTATTTGGAATGCAGAGTTTCCCTGGAGGAAAAAATGGTTTACTCTTATTTTCAATGCTAAAGCAAAGTGTGGGATTTGGTGTCACTATCTGTTGTTGGGTTATTAAAAAAATAAAGGCAGGACTTTCAGTTGACTATCAAACTTTTAACCTTATGTACAAGCCCCAGGATGAGAATTTTAGCATTCCAAATTTAACTCAAAACAAAAGGCCTTGCTTTGAGTCTACAAATGCTCCTTTCAGTTAGAAAAGTGCTAATTTGTCCAAAGTCACACAATGTATTCACTCATTTTCTTGAAGATGACTCATTCAATAATCTGAAACATAATGACTATGTGTTTGTAACAATTCAAAACAACTGTAAAATGGCTTGTCATTTAAAATGAATTAATTCAGAGGCATCAGTTACATTTTCTGAATTTATATTTTATAAATATAAAGCAGGTAAAGCTGCATATCTTAGCAGGCCAAGAAAAAAAGTTAATTGCCAACTCTCCCTTCCCTAACTGCTTCCTTAATGTTCTCCTGTGGTTAAAATTATTTTAACGTTTAGAAGTGCAATCTAAATTCCAGAAGGTTATCAAGGAGAAAAAGATAAAGTGGTGACAGACCTCAACTTGAACTCTACCAAACTACACAATTTTTGGAAACTATAAACATGTATCTGACAGACATCAAGTATGTGCAAGTGACCATTATTATGGGTTTTAGAGGAAATGTTCTCAAAGCATGATTCCTGGATCAGCAGCATCAATATTGATGATTCACAGGAAAACTTGTTAAAAATGCAAATTATTACTGCCTCCTCCTCCCCAAATCAAACACTGTGGGTGGAATCCAGCAAAAGGGGACAGTTCAACAAAGCTCTGCAGGTGATTCTGATGTACTCTAAGGTTTGAGTATCACTGCTTCAGAATATTAATGCTGTAAAAACTGTAGACCACCTTTGTTCAATTATAAAGAAGTGTTTAAGATAGAAGCATATAAAAATATGGACAAGATTTACATAAATGTATGATGTGATTTTCAAATTAGGATATAAAATAATTATGTAAGGATTTCTTATTTCATATTCTTTAAATTTCTTTTTTTTTTTTTTAAAGATTTTATTTATTTATTTGACAGAGAGAGACACAGCGAGAGAGGGAACACAAGCAGGGGGAGTGGGAGAGGGAGAAGCAGGCTTCCCGCAGAGCAGGGAGCCCGATGCGGGACTCGATCCCAGGACCCCGGGACCATGACCTGAGCCGAAGGCAGTCGCTTAACCAACTGAGCCACCCAGGCGCCCCTCATATTCTTTAAATTTCAAAGGAAGTTCCTCACTCAACAAAAATTTGTGGCCATTTTAAGGTGACAGGCAGCATTTGAGAGAAAAAAAAAAATGACAGAATTTGAACACAGAATGACTAAGTGAATGAAGAATCAGTTAATTACCATAGAGTTCAGAGACCTGTTCATCAATTTTTTACAATCATTCTTGTATTATATTCATTATCTCTCTTCCCGTTCAGAAAGCAGAGATCAGCCATTTGAATTTAACATGCCGAAAGATACCCAATTTCCAAGTGACTGCCCCAACCTAGAAGGGCCAATCATCACATGCTTAGATTACTGCAGTAACTACCTAGTGGACCTCCATGACTTAAGATGGCTTCCTCCTCCCCACTATTCTGTATTAGCTTCTGAGGAATCTATCTTTTTTTTAGTAATCTCTATACCCAATGAGGGCCTCAAACTCACAATGCAGAGATCAAGAGTTGGATACTTCACTGACTGAGCAAGCCAGGTGCCCCTCTCTTAAATACTGTAGCTGTTCCACGTGATTCTTTGCTCCAAACCTTGTAACCTTTCACACTACTGCTTACTGAAAAGGTAGATGTACTACCTCCAAGGATTAATCCAGAGGGTCAGATAGGGTATACAAATGAGTGAAGTAGGCCATAGGAATATTAAATGGGTAGAAATGCTCTTCACTTTTCATAAAGAAACATACTCATCCCATTTTTGTTTTCCTATTTTAATTAAATATTCTACTATAAGAAAACTAACAGTGAAGAAATGATGACAAATAGAGACACTTGGCTTTAGAGTCTAGGAGACAACAGGATATGTGGGGATTATGGTAAATTAAAAGCCTAGGCCATACCCAAGCCTGACCCTTTGGGTCTAGCAAGTTTTATCATGTGAGAATAAGGTCCCAGTGTTGCCAGAATTTTAGATTTTTGAAGACAAGCTCCAAGTATGGATTTTTATGTGAAATCATTCAACTTTAAAATTCTGGCTCGGAGGGCACCTGGGTGGCTCAGTCAGTTAAGCATCTGCCTTCGGCTCAGGTCATGATCCTGGAATCCTGGGATTGAGTCCCGCATCAGGCTCCCTGCTCAGTGGGGAGTCTGCTTCTCCCTCTGCCCTTCACCCTGCTTGTGCTCTCTCTCTCTCAAATAAATAAAAAAAAAATTCTGGCTCAGAGTGAAAAACACCACCACTGTGGTCCAAACAAAACATATCTGCTACTTAGAAAAAAAAAAAAAAAAAAAAAATATATATATATATATATATCTGCTACTTTGAGTCCCCTAGTTTGGAGCATTAAATTTCTATTTGTCTGCCTTGTTTCCTGGTATCTTATCTTCCTTACAGTAACAATAATCCCCAGATTTGGGCAGCATTTTATTCTCTTCAATATGCTTTCATGTCCATTTGATCCTCTCGACTGTGAGAGGTAGAAAGAAGATGAGGAAGCAGGCTCAGGCAAGCTAAGTAACTTGTCCAACATCACATGATTAGTAAAAGCCTAAGCCCAGGTCTCCTTACTCTGAGACCAGCACAAATCCCTGGCCCTTTTACTCTTTCCTTGTCCCTTACATGTGCTTTTGTCTCAGTCAGGTCCTCATCTAGAAGGACGGTCTTCTTTATTTCTGCCAATCTAAATTCATCATCTTTTAAGACCCAGCTCAAGCTCTACTGTATACATAAAACCTTTCTAACTAGGGCAAGTCTCAAAGTATTCTTTCTTCTGAACTTCAGTTGTTGTTATGGTCAGTAACTTACAAACTGGTGCTTATCAACAGCCTTGAATCATCAAATTATTTCACATCATTTCACATAGCTCATATCCCCAGTGATATTCTAAGCTCTTTGATGGTGTGGACATGTTATTCTTTTTTGTTCCACATAGCTCCCAGCACTCTGTTGGGACATAAAAATGACTGCTTAATGTTTGCCATCTTAGACAGTCTTTTGAGTAAGAGTTATACTTACCAGCCTGATGTTATCTTCTGGGCGGAGTAATATGAACATTGCTTGGAGATGCTGTTGGAGATCACCTGGTGATATTTATGAAACAAAAAATAATTATTCTCCACTGTAATGTCAATAGAGAGGATTCCTTCTACCTTAATAACCTGTATAAAAAAAAGTCCTGGGTCACTGAAGGACTATAATTAGACATAGAAATTAAGTGTCTTAATATAATTATTATTAACTTTAAGTGGAAAGACAGAATGGTAGACGGCATCTCTATACATTCACTTTTAGCCTATACTACATTAAAATTTCCTTTATGCTTGTCCAATGGGAGGTGCACTTGAAAGCAATCTCAGTTTTGTACTATCGTGGATGTTGATGAAAGCAGTGGCGAGATCTGTTGGGCTGTGCTTTAAGGCCCACTGAAGGTAGCAAGGAGGGAATCCTGAAAATGGGGTGTGTGATGAATGGGTTTAGAATTACCTCTAACATTACAAAAAACTAACTCTTTTGCCATTCTTTTTTCTGTAAATCTTTAGTTGCATTTAACCAAAGAAGATTTTTAGATTCCCCTTAGAATAATGTCAATGGTTTAAAATGATTTCCATATTAGTGGCTGATATTCAAGTAAGAGTACTCATTAAATATAGTGGGTCCCAAGAAATAAATATTCCCCTGAACCTAATGTTAGGTCCTTTAACATGGCCAACCATTATTTGAATACACATTTGTTTCTACACATTCTCCAAAACTAAGTTGAATTTTTTTGTATTAAAGTATTACAGATTTCCTCATACCCCTTATTCTATACTAGAAAACATGGAACTTCGGCTAGTAGGAGATAATTCGATAACATACTGTTATAAATGATAACAATCGGAGAACAAAAAACTTCATTCATGCCCAACCAGGTCCAGCTCTTTTTTAAGAGTCTACAGTGACTGACACAGCCGCCTGATCACAGATGCCAGTGGATGCCTGTTCTCACATTCGTCTTGCAATCTACATACAAAATCTTCCTCCAGGTAACTTCAACTGTTAACAGTGAGATGAAATACTGATATGTGCAAGAAGTGGTGAGGGGTAGCAAGAAAGAAAAGTAGGTTAGCAAACAGATATTTGTTTAAAAGTTCAGCAAGTCTGAAAGCCTCCCCTTTTTTTCCCGTTTCCTTCTCTTAAAGAATGGTTTTCTTGCCGCCCACCCCCCCACCTCCATTTCAATGCTGGCTTCTGACCAATTCCATTACTGCAGAATCTTTCAACTTTCAAAATTAAAAAGGAAAATCATCATGTTTGGCCAGGTCTGTTCTAGCACATTTCAAACCCAGAGACACAATCTAAGTCTCATGTGTAAGAACCAGTATGGGCTCATAGGTATAAAACCAAGAGAAATGAAAACATATGTCCACACAAGAACTTACACATAAAGATTCACAGCAGCATTATTTGTAAGAGTCAAAAATTAGAAACAACTCAAGTGTCTATCAACCGGTGAACGGAAAAATGAAATGTGGTATATCTATACACTAGAATATTATTTGGTCATAAAAAGGAATGAAGTACTGACACATACTATAATGTAAATGACCCTTGAAAACATTATGCTAAATGAAAGGAGCCTGTCTCAAAAGATCATTTATATAATTCCACTTATATGGAACACCCAGAATGGGCAAATCTATAGACAGAGAAATAGATTAGTGGTTGTTTAGGATTGGCAGGGAGGGTGGAGGATATAGGGAATGACTGCTAATGGGTAACTGAGTTTCTTCTGTGGGGTGATGAAAATGTTCTAAAATTACAGTGATGGTAGTACAACTCTGTATATACTAAAAAACAACAACAACAACACTGAATGTATACTTTATTTTTATTTTTTTTTAAAGATTTTATTTATTTATTTATTTGACAGAGAGAGACACAGCAAGAGAGGGAACACAAGCAAGGGGAGTGGGAGAGGGAGAAGCAGGCTCCCCGCAGAGCAGGGAGCCCGATGCGGGACTAGATCCCAGGACCCTGGGATCATGACCTGAGCTGAAGGCAGTCGCTTAACCAACTGAGCCACCCAGGCGCCCCTGAATGTATACTTTAAACGGGTAAATTAGGTGAATTACATGGTATGTGAATTATATCTCACTAGAACTGTTAAAAAAAAAAAAAAAAAAAAGAACCAGTGTGGGGAGACAAAGTGTTAGCTATAAACAATGAAGAATGACTTAAGTTACATGTTATAATTGAGTTAAGCAGCTGAGGCTTTTTAAAAATTAAGATTCCTTCTGTTCTATCAGTACAGATGACCCAAGGGAAGGATTTTTAGGATGGAGAACTTGTAGAGGACGACCATTTCTGGGTAAATAGTGGCCTAAGTCCCTACTCCAAGTGCTATTGGCCCAAAGATCCAGCTGGCTTCTTGAAAGGTCAGGCAAAAGTCAAGAAGCCCCATCCCTACTGTAAGGCTTCTTATGTGAGCTGGGTATGTGGAAACTCAGGTTTGTTAGTGGTGAAAAGTACTGTCGGTAAGCAAACTGGGTATTTGCTACTGGAAAACCTTAATTGATAAGTTACATAAGAATTCATTAGAGTATCTTTGTACCTTATTATTTTTCCAACACAAATTTATTGAACACTTACTACATATATAATGCATTCTGCTAAGTGCCAGAAAAATAGTGAAAGAAAAGTGATTATAGCACAGTACAATGCTTTCTTTCACTATTACAAGACTGTTGGAGAAACAGGGATGAGGTTGTCAGCCTTTTAGAACAAAACAAAAGAAACCAAGAAAGGAATGGTGTATGTGGAACTTTACCTGCATGCTTGTTGCGTCTGTGGCTAATTCTTGGTGCAGATGAGCCATTTCCCCGTGGTAGAAAAAGGGCAGCACCTTTGACAGTTAGAAAGCTCTCGCTGATGCTATAAGGGAAAAAGTCAAAAGGAAACAGATTATTTAAGGAAGAAAATCAGAGTATGATGGAGATCCATTTTGGGATTATTCTCTCTCCCATCTTCCAAAGTCCCAATTTCATGGGATGAAGTAAAAATAAAATTAAGAGAGACCCTTTTATTTACACAGTCCTATCTACTCTAGACAGTTTTTCTGAAGCAAAACCTACAATATTCTATATATATATATATTACATGGTAGCAGTTAAGAATGAAGGCTCTGGAAACAAAAAAGAGAAAGCCTCTGGAGCCAGACTGCCTGGGTTTGAATCCTGGCTCTGCTACTTCTTACCTGAGTGAATTTTAGGGGGCCTAAATTTCCTTATCAGTAAAACAAAGGTAATAAAATGAAGCTGTTGTGAGGAATCAACAAGTACACAGTTTCTTAGAGGGTGCCCTTGTGCAGAGGGATTTTTGAACTCAAAATGCAACTAAGGTATAAAATTCTCAGTTTTACTTTAGAAGTACTCTAGAAATGAAGCTGGCAGACACATCTGAGAACACTTCAGTTGCTTTTAAAATTCCCAAAGCTCTACCATAAATTTAGTTCTTAGTGTTTTATTTTTTTAATTTATTTTTTAATTCTTAGTGTTTTATTCATTTATTTTAAGATTTTATTTATTTATTCATGAGAGACAGAGAGAGGCAGAGGGAGAAGCAGGCTTCCCATGAAGCAGGGAGCCCGATGCGGGACTCGATCCCAGGACCCCGGGATCATGACCTGAGCCGAAGGCAGACGCTTAACCAACTGAGCCACCCAGGCGTCCCAATTCTTAGTGTTTTAAATGACTGCATTTTAAGGTACACAAACACGGGTTACACAAATATCAATGCTATAGAAACATCTGTGGATAAGCATAAAGGTATAAATGCCTAAACTGGAGGAAACTTGAAACCCTCACCTTAATTCTTTTTTTTTTCTTTTTAAAGAGTTATTTGAGAGAAAGCACACGCGTGAGTGGGGAGGCGGTGGTGGTGGATGAGGGAGGGGATCCTGGTGACCCTGAGATCATGACCTGAGCCGAAATCAAGAGTCGGGCACTCAACCAAGCCACTGAGGTGCCCCTCTTATCTTAATTCTTTTTTTTTTTTTTTTTAAGATTTACGTAATTGAGAAAGAGAGCAAAAGAGAGCGTGAGAACGAGCGCATGAACATGGTGGGGAGGGGCAGAGGGAGAGAGAGAGAGAAACCCTAAGCAGACTCCACGCTGAGCCCGACGTGGGGCTGGATCCCATGACCCTGAGATCATGACCCAAGCTGATACCAAGAGTCCGACATTCAACTGACTGTGCCACCCATAGGTCTCTCATCTTAATTTTTTTTAATTTTTAAAAAATATTTTATTTATTTATTTGACAGAGAGAGAGATAGCGAGAGCAGGAACAGTGAAGCAGGGGGAGTGGGAGAGGGAGAAGCAGGCTTCCCGTGGAGCAGGGAGCCCGATGCGGGGCTCGATCCCAGGACCCTGGGATCATGACCTGAGCCGAAGGCAGACGCTTAACGACTGAGCCACCCAGGCGCCCCTCTCATCTTAATTCTTAAATGTAGTATTTCTAACTTGTGACATACAGATAGATTGGCAGCCATTTTTGTGTGTTTTAAAATAACTGGGAGCATAGTTAAAATTTTATACATCAAATGACTGCTATTGAATGTTGCAGGTGAGATGTGGTTATTTTTAGTTTACTTGAAATGATTAACTAAAGGGGGGAGGGGGAAGTAAATATCTGAAATTTGGAAAACACTAAACTTTTTGGTAAGAACTTTTAATTTTCATTTACATTTTCTTTAAGGATATAAAAGGTTGATACTGTATGTAGTTAAATTGACCCATAACCATCGGTGATCATGGGGCAGGTAACTATAGCCTGCAGAAAAAGTTATGATCTAGGAATTTAAAAAATAAGATCCTGAAGTTTTTGTTTAATTGCATCAATTTCTGTATTTATGTGAATTTATAAACTACAGTACGTTTTGAATGAGATTAATCTTGTTTAATATAAGTAAATGTGTTTGTAGACTGTGATCTCTCCAAACTAAAAAGATTAGTACTTGGAATTGTGTTCTTTATGGTTATAGTGTTGGTAAAGCACTAATACACAGAAAATAAAGGAATTACACAGTGCAAAAAAAAAAAAAAAGAGTGCTGCCCTTAACAAATATTAGTTATTGTTACTGGGCCTACGATTATTAGTAACAGTGTTTGATTAGTGTTCTAATCAGATGTAAATTATATTACAATAGTTAGTTACAAATAACAGACCCAAAGTTTGCCCAAAAAATTTTGTTTAAAATACACACACCATGCTGAAGTGTTACTCAAAATTTTACTTTCACTGACTTGCATTCCCACATGCAGTGAAAGGAGGACATAGGAAATGTGTTTAACCTATGGAGTTTGCCATGTTAATACCATCCTTCATGTAAATGACAGCTCAACAGAGGTGGAGATTTTCTGTTCAGGATAGCAGTAATATAATTACTAGTGAATATCCACAAAAAACAAAAAATATATCCAAACTATTTCATACCAACAGACTAAGCCTTTTAAATGTTTAAACGTTATCCATAAACTCTGAAAAGGCTAGAACTTCTAAAACACTAATGGCAAAATTTAGAAACATATAATGGAAGGGAGGGTTCCAAGTTTGCTTGGAAGTATGTTATGCAGAGTTAGCTAATGTATTGTAAATTACACTGCCTACTCAACATTTCCACTTGGGAATCCATTGGCATCTCAAATTTACATTGTCAAAACAAAGCTCTTGAGTCCCTGCAAACCTGATCCCTAGTCTCATCCACCCAAATTGTTTGGGCCAAAATACTTGACAGTCATCCTTGGTTTCTCTTTTTCCCTGCAACAGTATGTATCCTAATCCAACAGCAAACCCTGGCTTTACTTCCAAATGTATCTTGAATCTGCCCACTTAGCTCCATTACCACTTTGACAATGTTCATGGCACCATCATTTTTCAAAACTAGCACCACTGTTAAAGGTTTTTTTTTTTTTTAGCTTTTTATTATAGAAAATTACAAATATAAACAGAAATAGAGGGGATAATATAATGAACTCCCATGTTCTCACACATTTCAGCTTTAATTCAAGTCCAATCTTTGTTTCTTCTATATCCTTACTCTCTTCACCTTGTCCCTGAAGTGAAACTAATCCCAGACATTCTATCAGCAAAAGGTCTCTTAACTGGTCTATCTGCAACCACTTCTGCACTGCGGCTATCCACTTACCAAAGAGCAACCAGAGGGATTTTATGTATCTAAAATACACGGATACATCACGTGCTTCCCTTTGTACTTACAAAGAAAAGCTGAAGTCTTTAGCTTAGACTTCAAGGCCTTGTAACATCCAATAATACATCATTTCTCTGATTTTGTACTATCTCCCCTTTTGTTCACTTGCTATAGTTGCATTGGTCTCTTTTGTTTCTTCTATATTTCAGGCCCCTTCTCAGGGCCTTTGTGCTTTTTCTTTTCTTCTATTTTTAAAAAATATTTATTTGAGAGAGAGCGCGCGCACGTGCGAGCACAAGTGGGGAAGGGGCAGAGGGAGAGGGAGAAGCAGACTCCCCGCTGAGCAGGGGACCTGATGTGGAGACTTGATCCCAGGACCTTGGGATCACGAACTGAGCTGACAGACGCTCAACCAACTGAGCCACCCAGGCGTCCCATGCTTTTTATTTTTTACTTGGGATACTTTTTCTCCTGGCCTGTCACTATTTAAGTCACAGCTCCAGTATCATCAACTCTTCCCCATCCCAATCATACTCTATCTTGCTATTCTGTTTTGTTTCCTTCAGGATATATATCATATCCTAAAAATTATGTTTACTTGTATACTTGTATTTACTTGTATACTTTATTTACTTGTATACTTGACTGTGGTTATCTCCTTATGATATCATATAAGCTCAACGAAGAGCAAGGATTTTATTTTGCTCAGTACATAATCCTTAACATTGGAAATAGTGCCAAGCACATATTAGGTGCTCAATGGCTATTTAAGGAATGAATCAATTCATCCCAGGGTCCTTCCCACACGGTTCTATCGGTCCCGTTATTGCAGCAGGAATTGTAATTTAGGACAAGAAGAAAGAAATTCTGTAATTTCACATGTAAAAAATAATTGTTACAGAACTCAATATATGTGGCAGATTAATGGATTGTAAATACAAATGTTTGATGATAAATTAATTGGCAAATAAAATTAAATCACCTCTATAATGTTGTCAGTCCAACGTTGACTCAATTTTATCCTTTAATTAAGTGGCATGAAGCTGATAAACTTTTGAGCTAACTTGCCAAATAGACTGGAACATGTCTTCTAAAAACAAACATAAGAATCCACGGATGCCACTTTAAAAATCTGCATTCTGGCTGGGAGGGGCTGCCTTTATTTTGTTTTGTTTTCATCTTTAAATAAAGCACTGTGCTCTTGTGGTCTGTTGCACAAGTCTTGTCTCTTGTTACGTTAGTGGTATGCACATGTCACCCTGCTGTGGGTCACTGTGTTTCACTCACATTACGGGAACCTAAAACAAAATGTCTTGAGTGACAGGATGAGTGGGGTACACCACAGACAGGAAATGAAATTCACACTTCTGCCAACACAGCAACTGTCTGCTTTACCAAATGAAAATATTTTAAAAATACAGACTAATATTCTACCTATTACCAAAGTTACAGCTGTGGGCACTTTGGTTTCCGGTAAGCAAAGTGGTCTCAACATCTACAAAAGAAGTATATTTGTAGAGAGCTTAAAACAACCAAGCATGCTTCAGTTATTCCTTTTGTGAGACAGAGGTAGTTTCTCTTAGACAAACACTAGTTTAAGAATAAACTTCCTGGTTTGATACATTTATTGTTGCTCATGCTTTAAAGCAAATCTAAGTGTGTTCTTTAACATGTATGTAGTGCTTTCACACGGGGAGGGTTAGGGTGGGACCAAGGACCCTTG